TTAAGTTTTTCTTTATTGGCATTATTAAGGTGTTGTAGCAGCAAGAGGTCAACAGCACTTCGATATTGCAAGAGGGCTTTAAAATTCTAAGAGCCAAGGTTTGTCTACCAGAAAACACAACTGTGGACACAATGTGACGGAGAATTGTTTTATTATGTTTTAGTTGTTCTTTTCTAACATCGAGCTTACTGTCTTTTACTTGCCACATCCAATTTTCATTAAAACGCATGCCATTCGAACTGAGGCAGCATCATTTTTGTGAAGTTTGTGTAATTGAACAACATTGGAGATCTTTGTCCAGTTGAAGTATGGTTTTATGAATTTGGTTGCCAAGTTTGTCTTGTGAGAGAAAAGAAGACATGGAACACAGAATGTAGTGTTTGAGTTCATGCTGTAGGCAATCCATGTTTTCTCTTCAAGGTAACAATACTGTCATGATCGAATCTTACTATTCATCTCAGTGGTCTGGAATTTGTCTTTCCTATGAGGAAATCGGTGATGTTGAAGAGAAACAAATGTCGTACAATGATTGTATTTGAAGTTGCTTGTATACATTGTCAATATCTGGAATATTATCTGCGTTGAAATGACAAGCTGTTGCCATTGTTGCATTTAATATGTCTAATGATATTGGGTTTCTTTTCTCTTTAATGGGACGAGGTCTATGGATCTCTTGTGAGTATTTTCGCTTTCAGCCAAAGGTTTCTTATTCAATATGACCTCAATTGAAGTAAAAAATTTAACGAAAATTACTCTAGGTAACCAATAAATCCAATGTAGTAACTCCCTGATTGATGTTGAAATTTCTTGTAAAAAAACAACAAATGAAAGTTCTTAACCCTTGAATAACGGAACCAATGTACTTTTAGGTATTATGCATTAATCATTTCATCTTTAAATAAAACTTAATAAGTTTTAAGAACAAAAGAGACTTTGGCAAGCTATATTAGTGAAAGGTGCATACGCTTTTGCCTTCTACTATTAGTTGTAAAAACGAGACCCCAAAATGTACTTTTTTTAAAATTCCAAATAACATTTATATTTATAATACTTACCGTACATAGTCTGAATTGATAATTTTTATATAACTGGTTTTGATTGATTTGTAATTGTAGATTATTTTGCAGTTAAAAGGAAAACTTAGTTTGCAGTATTTTTAGAAACATTGTAATATTTCTAAAAATACTGCAAACTAAGTTTTCCTTAAAAGTCAAACCCTATATTTTATTTAATTTTTATTTAGTCTTAATAGTAATTACAAATTACACAACAATACTTTACACATAGCAAATTAAATTATTCAATTGTTTGGATTGCGTTCAAAAAACGACACCCTGTACGTATACGTAGTATACGTATAGGGTGTCGTTTTTTGTACGCAATTCAAAAAATTGAATAATTTAATTTGCTATGTATAAAGTATAGTTGTGTAATTTGTAATTACTATTTAGACTAAATAAAAAATTAAATAAAATATAGGGTTTGACCCCTAAAATAAAGTAATATAAATAGTTACCTATTGTCCATGTTCAAGTCATTGACTACAATCGAGCAATGTACTGAATACAGTTGTTTGGACGAGTAATTTAAGGTGGTACATAGGTACAACGAATTTCTTTAAAGTAATATTATATAATATTATATAGTCATGATATCTTTTGTTTCTAAATTGTTAATACACATTTAAAATATTATGAAAAAAAAAATAATAATAATAATTAAGTACCTTTAGGACTAATAAAGGCCGATTTATGCAAAAAATAAAATTATATTTTGGAAAAGATTACTAAAAAATGAAAAAAAATTAGCATCTGAAACTTTCACAAGGTCAAGTAATTATGGTTTTTTATGTTCTGAAATTAAAAAAATTCTCTAAATATTTACTTTACTCTACACCACTGCAGTTGTACACAAAAAAAAAATTAAAAAAATTTCATTGACTAACATAAAGTTAGTCTTTAAAATAAAATATTGAACATTTTCTGAATTTCGCCACATTCAACATATATCAAAGAACATTTGGTCCAAATTTGAAACAAATAACTCAAAAACTTATTTCATAATCCTTGCCAGAAGATCTAAAAATATTAGGCGGAAAAAATTAATTGTAAAGTCAAAAAACAAATAATTCTGAAATTAAAACTCCACTTAACCATAAAATTTACCTTTATTATCTTTGATTTTGTCTAAACTTTACGGCTTTTAAGTTGGAATTCCTTGTACAGAGTTGGTCTCTCAAAGAAAAACTTTCGCAATAAGTTACTTGCAATTCCCAAATAGGAATTGCTTATTCTGCAATCAATGATTGCTATTCTGAACAAGCGTTATAAATGATTTTCGATGGTAATTGTTTTCGTAACAATTATTACACAGAGCGTTTTATTAAAAGCTATTACGAAAAATAGAATGTAAAGTAATTTTTTAATAAAATAAGTATAGTTTTCAAAAAATGATTTTTACCTATGTACCACCTTAATCAGTAAGCGAAATATTAAAGAATAAATCAAAAGGGGTGCTCAAATGGTGGTTTCCAAATTATAATAATTCAAACATTAACAAACAATAGTATGTTATAGTTAAATATTATTTGAATTTTATTTTGTTGAGTTATTTTTTTTTAAGGTTGACTAAAATTTATTTTTCTTAACAAATTTTTTAAAAATTCTAAAAGGGGTTTCCAGGTACCATGGAAAACCCCCTAATTCCGCTACTGCCAAAGGGCATTAGAGAGAAATACTTTTATTGAACAACAAAACAGAAGAAAATTTTACATTTTTTTAAAATGCTTATTAAAAGTGAAACACAACATAAGTAGACTAATTTGAAAAATGAAAACTATGAGTTAAAGAAAATTATTTGAACTGATGTTGAACACCAGAAAAAACTAAAATGTCAAAAATTATTGTTACAAAAGAAGATTTTAAAAATATTTTAAATGTAAATTTTAAATATATTTTATGGTAAATTTCACATGGTAAAAATTTTTGATATAAGTAATTTTTATAGCATGCTTGAACAAACTTTAAAACTTTATAATTTTCAAAAGGTTTTTGAATATTATCAAAATTACTAAAAAATTGTAAGCATTGTTGATTTTATGTAAAAGCAACATTTACAACACTTAAAAGTTTTAATTTATGATGCTTTATTTTATTGTTGAATTTGTGTTTTTTTATTCATATGATGTTAATGGCAACAAATAGGCAACATGTAAACTAATAATTCAAGAACTTATGTTTTAATTACGTTACTTTTCTTGAATAGCGTTAGTATAAGTAATTTAATAAACGGTCGGTTGCAAATATATACGTCGGTTATAAATATAAATTTTGTATACATACGCAATTAACTGATCACTTTGTTTTATATCTCCTAAAAATTGTGATAAAACAGTGTGATCCAAATATATTGTTTTTTCTCTCTGCAAAACTTGAATTAAAAAACTGAATTAAAAAACTATTAAAATGATATTAGTTTTGAGTATTTGGAATATCAAATATAATCAATTATGCAAATGCATAAGCTGCAATATGCGTAAACAAGTAAAAGTATAAAAATTGATTGCTACAGATGAAGAAAATTGAAAAACAAAGAGACTAGGAAACTTTATTTGCCTGAGCGTCGTCAAACACCTAGCTATATTGGATAGAAATGTAAAGAAATGGTTTAAAATTACATTTAGTATATATTAGTAAATGCCTATAATAATTAATTTTTTTATATATAATATGATTTACATAACACTTAATAAATTTAGTAAAAATTAGATTCTGAAATGGCTATTGGTTATTGTGTAAAAACATTAGATGAAAACCTTAGTGATAGTATTGCTTAAATTGGTATTGGATTGTTTTCAACAAGACAGCTACTCTAAAGTCGAAGACAAATTCTATTTTATTGTTAGTTTTGTCAAGCACCTCGCCTATACTGAATAGCAAAATACCAAAATAATTTATAGCAAGCTTCTAGTTTTTTTGAAGATACAATATCAAGATATGTATTACATTTTATCAATAGAGATATTGCTATCTATCAATATAGATATTGCTGTTTGTAAATTTTAAACTCGTTTTTGTCACACTAAAAGTTAAAAAAATTTTTTCCTCTAAAAACCCTATTCCTCCAGAGTTGAAATCGTTCGTTGTCTACAAATTCGTATGTGAAGGAAGTAACTTCTGTTAAATAGGCAAAACTACTCGTCATCTAAAGACACGGATAACTGAACATTATCAAAGAGACAAAAAACTATATATCTAAAGACATTTCCATATTAATGAAAATTGTTTTTTGCAATTAAATAAAAAGTGTTTTTCCATTTTAGATTCAACATCTAATAAGTTCGAATTAAAACTTAAAGAAAGCATGTTCATAAAATGGTTAAAACCATGTATGAACAAACAGGTCAACCATGTCCAAATGACACTTTCTGTTTCGTTATTACCTTTTATATAAAAATTTTTATTAACCTATACTTTTGTCACTTCCTATTCGCTTTTTAGTAAGACTTGTTATTGTTAAAGTAAATTTTGTTGTATTATAATTTAATTAATGTTTTTTACACAGATAATTACATTTTGTAGAGGTATTGTAAAATCATCTATTTAAGTATTTAAACAAATTTAAAATTTTAACTTCAACTAAAGATGACTAGTAATAGTCAAAACATGTATTGTTTAGAATTAATAAAATGGTTTTATTGATTAAAAAATTTGCCTTGTTTAATAAAATAATTACATTTTTGTGCTTAAAAGAAATTTTGTATATATATATATATATATATATATATATATATATATATATATATATATATATATATATATATATATATATATATATGTATATATATATATATATATATATATATATATATATATATATATATATATATATATATATATATATATATATATATACATATATATGTATAAGTATAGATTATAATTTATTTATAGAGGTTATTATTTGTGATAATGTTTTATCATAATAGAGTATCTTTTTAG